TAAGAATGCTGCATGCGTTCTTGATTGTTTCAACGTGGATATCATTGATTCATGTATTCTTGGAACTCTTGAGGAATCTCATTTACTCTCAAGAGATCCAATGGAGTACACCATATGCCAATCTGTTGAAGAGAAACAATCAAATGAGATGGTGAACTCATGCTTGGAGATTTTAGATCATCTCTCCGAACCAATGGAGGGACGAGAAAAATTTGAAGTCCTTAATCTTGAAGAGGAGCCTATGCCCAAAAATGATGAAATACCTAAAGTAGAGCTCAAACCTCTTCCCTCTACTTTACGGTATGCTTTTCTTGGGCCCGACTCTACTTTTCCGGTGATCATCAACTCTTCCCTAAATGCTGAACAAGAGGAGAAGTTGCTTAAAGTCCTTAGGGAACATAAACCAAGCATTGAGCACCAACGACGTCTTAATCCAAACATGAAAGACGTTGTCAATAAAGAAGTGCTAAAGTTCTTGAGAGCAGGAATCGTCTATCCAATTTCAGACAGCAAATGGGTTAGCCCTATTCATGTGGTTCTGAAAAAGGGAGGAATTACCGTTGTTAAAAACGAAAACAATGAATTTATTCCTACCCGAATGGTTACTGGATGGCGCATGTGCACTGATTACCGAAAGTTAAACAAATCCACTCGGAAGGATCATTTTCGTCTCCCGTTCATTGATCAGCTGCTGGAAAGAATGGCCAAACATTCCTATTTCTGTTTTCTAGATGGCTTCTCGGGATTCTTTCAAATCCTGATTCATCCTCATGATCAAGAAATGACGACATTTACATGTCCTTATGGCACATTTGCATATCGAAGAATGCCATTTGGATTATGTAATGCACCTGCGACTTTTCAAAGGTGTATGATTGCTATTTTCTCAGAATACATCGAGGAGATCATGGAGGTATTCATGGATAATTTCTCTGTCTATGGGAATTCATTTGAAGATTGTCTAATGAATTTAGACAAAGTGCTGAGAAAATGTGAAGAAGCCAATCTCGTACTAAATTGGGAGAAATGCCATTTCATGGCAACAGAAGGAATTGTACTTGGCCATAAAATCTGTGAAAGTGGTATTGAAGTTGATCTAGCGAAGATTGAAGTCATCGAAAAGTTGCCACCACCGAATTCTGTAAAAGGAATTCGGAGTTTTCTCGGTCATGCTGGATTCTACCGCCGTTTCATCAAGGATTTCTCTAAAATCTCAAAACCCTTGACAAATCTAAGGATGTAGATTTTAATTTTGATGCTGATTGTCAAGAAGCTTTTTCAAAGCTGAAGATGGCCTTAACAACTGCTCCAATTATAAGGCCACCCGATTAGAACATACCATTTGAAATCATGTGTGATGAAAGTGATTATGCAGTCGGAGCTGTTCTAGGCCAACGCAAGGGGAGAGAAGTCTATTCCATATACTACGCAAGCCATACTCTTGATGATGCACAACTCAATTATGCAACAACTGAAAAAAAGTTTCTTGCAATAGTCTTTGCCATTGAGAAGTTCCGATCATATCTCTTCGGAAGCAAAATTATTGTGTACACTAATCATGCTGCTATCAAATACCTCATGGCAAAGAAAGACTCCAAACCAAGGCTCCTAAGATGGATTCTTTTACTACAAGAATTTGATATGGAGATCAAAGACCGAAAGGGGTCGGAAAATGTGGTTGCTGACCATTTATCAAGGTTGGAAATTCCTGAAGCAAAAACTATGCCGATCAATGATTACTTCATCGAAGAACAAATTATGCTGGCTAAAAGCACTGATCCATGATTTGCTGACATAGCAAATTATCTTTCAAATGGAATAATTCCAACCGGAGCAACTCATGCAGAAAAGAAGAAGTTGCAATATGACTCTCGAAATTACATCTGGGAGGAACCATTCCTCTACAAAATTTGTGCTGATGGAGTCATACGAAGATGTTTGCCTGAGGATGAAGTTACAAATATCTTACATCATTGCCATTATTCCGCCTATGGAGGTCACCATGGTAGCTTCCGCATAGAAACAAAGGTGTTACAATCTGGTTTCTTTTGGCCTACTCTTTTCAAAGATGCCAACACCTTTGTTAAAAGTTGCGACCGTTGTCAACGCACTGGAAACATCGGGAGGAGAAATGAAATGCCTCAAAGGGGCATTCTTGAAGTTGAAGTATTTGATGTATGGGGCCTTGATTTCATGGGCCCATTTCCGAAGTCAAATGGAAAGGAATTCATCCTCGTGGCTGTGGATTATGTATCAAAATGGGTTGAAGCAATTGCCACGTCCACAAATGATTCAAAAGCGGTGATCAAATTTATTCGAGGGAACATTTTCTCTCGATTTGGAGTCCCAAGAGCAATCATCACCGACAATGGCACCCATTTTTGCAATA